ATGGACAACCCCTCTGCCTGGTCTCCAGAGGATCCCTGCTGGCTCAGGGCTTGGCAGAATAGGGACTTTGGAATGGATTTTGTTCCTGTTTTCTGTCCCTTGGGCAAGGGGAATATGCAGAAGAGCCAGAGCTTGGCTTACATTCATGAATTAAGTCTTGGGATGATTTTACATCTGCAGCTGGGAAGGAGAAACCCTCCTTTGCTGTCAATTCAGGATTGTTTTTCTTAGTGTCAGCGACTACAGAACTACTCATTTATTAGGAAGCAACACCAGGACACCTGGTCTTGGCTGAGGGAGCACCAGCCCGGGCGTTTGCCAAAGGTCTCATGCAGGAGCTCAGGTGATACACTGAATTTTCTCTGAGGCCCCTATTACCTGCACAGAAAGCAGCAGCTTCCCGTTCCAGGGGTGATGCGAGGACAAGATCTGCTGAGCAGGGTCGTGCAGAGCTCAGAGGATGATCATTCTGGAAGAGGCTGCTGACTCCAGCCCTGGAGCCCTTTGTTGCTGTGCCTAAGCCCTTCTGGAGGCAGCTTTCCTGCTCAGCATAAGCATAAGGAACCATATCACATCCAAAAAAAGTTCCTCTCCCACCCTTGCTTGCAGCTTTCCCGGGCTTTTCCCTGGCTTTTCCCAGCAGAAAGGACCACACACACTCTGGTGCTGGTTCTTTCTTCCGTGTATCAGCAGCTCCTATCTCCACCCCACCTGCCACATGAAGCCCTGCCTGCCCTCCAGCAGCCACAGAGTGGGCCAGCTCCTCCTGGCTCCAAACCCTGCACCCCAAACTGCTGATGGGTAGGGTTTTGTGTGGACCATTCCCTTTTTCCCCTGGGACAGAGGGTGTGATTGTGTGTCCTGGTCCTGCATCATGCAGGGAGGCTGGTGCATGGGGCGGGTGGGACCTCATCCTTCAGTGAGGGTCCTTCCCATGATGGAAAGCAGGGTGGCCAGCAGGTCAAGGGAGGTGATTCTCCCCCTGTAGTCCACTCTCATGAGACCCCACTTGGAGTACTGTGTCCAGGCCTGGAGTCCCCAACACAAGAAGGACATGGAGCTGTTGGAATGAAATAAGAGGAGGCCATGGAGATGATCAGAGGGCTGGAGCAGCTCTGCTCTGGAGACAGGTTGAGAGATTTGGGGTGTTCAGCCTGGAGAAGAGAAGGCTCCAGGGAGACCTTAGAGCACCTTCCAAGGGTGCTACAGGTCAGCTAGGGTGGGACTTTTTATAAGAGTGTGGAGTGATAGGATGAGGGGGAATGGTTTAAAACTGAAAGAGGGGAGATTTAGGTTAGATATTAGGAAGAAATTCTTTAGTGTGAGAGTGGTGAGACACTGGAACAGGTTGTCCAGAGAAGCTGTGGCTGCCCCATCCCTGGCAGTGTTGAAGGGCAGGTTGGATGGGGCTTGGAGCAACCTGGGCTGGTGGGAGGTGTCCCTGCCCATGCAGGGGGGTGGGACTGGATGATCTCCAAGGTTCCTTCCAGCCCAAGCCATTTAAAACTCTGTGATTCTGTGGTTTACTGACAGAAAGCTGTCCCATCCTCAGCTGCCCTCCAGAAAGATGTTTCAGTGTGGGTTCAAGGCAGGACCCTTAACTGGACCAGTTTGGGGTGCCAATCTCCATCTGTTTCTTGAGCATCAGGTGCGTTTTAGCCCTTAGCAAGAGGGTAGAAGCTGCATTAAAAACCAGCCTGTCTTCCTGTGGTTCACACTGACAGAGCTGCTGCCCTGCCAGGGCTGTACCAGCTCCAGCAGCTGAACTGCCCGGTGGTAGGAGGAGTAAACCAGCCTGAGCTCGGCAGAGATGCTGAGAGGGGATGTGCTGCTCGCAGCCACCAGAGGGCACGGGAAGCAAAGCTGAGACGCCGTTTCAAAAGGTCCTCCTGCTGGTGTGAGGCTTTAGCATGGCTGGTCTTTCTCAGAGCAGTCACTTGAATTCCTCCTGAGAGCTTCTGTGACTTCTGTGGCTGTGCCTCCTCTGTTCCTAGCCTGGCACCTGCAGCTGAAGGGGATCTAGATGCCCAAAGGAGCACAGCCCCGTGGATGCTCTTCCCAGCTCACCTTTCCCCAGGTGAGTTGTTCAGCCCCCCTGTGCCTGGGCTGGAGAGGCACATCCTTGCCTGGGAGATGAGCTCAGGGGTGACTTGCCTGCTCCCTGTGACCGTAGCTGCACAGGGCAGATGGGCTTTTGGGAATGGGAATTGTTTGGTTTCCGTGGCTTGTTGTTAAACACTCACCAGTGTGAAGGACAGAGAATTTGTCCTGTTCTGCTCAAAGAGACACTGCCTGGCTCTGTGCTTGTTTTTATGGTCAGAATCCACTCCTACTCCTCCTGAAATGTCTAAACGAGCATCCTCAGTCTGTGTGTGGCAATGGGACATTACCAGCTTGTTCCAGGGCCAGGTTGTGTTACTTGTCATGACAGGGAGAAAGGGGGACAACGGGAACCAGTTAAAAGAAAAGCCCTTCAGAGGTGTGTTGGCTTCAGGATGTTCCTTGGAGGTTCTTTTTTCTCCCAAGCAACAGAGGCAGCAAAGAGATGTTCCATGCTCACCCAGAGGCCCCACCTGCCACCCTGGGGCTGTGGGACATCAAACATCAGGAACTGACTTGGAAGGAACTGGAAGGTGCACCTGGGAAGTGAAAAATGGTCATCACAACCAAGGCAGGACCACCTCTCCCTAAATCAGCCCTGGCAATACCTCTGATAGGTTGGGAATGGGGTTAATGGTCCTCGTAGGAAGGGCTGGGAAAAGGCAAAAGAGAAAAAAGTGATGCCTGAAAAGAATGAGTCAGTGTCTGGTGAAAGATCACAGAGAGGGGAATAGATCCCTTCCCAGGAGCATCCAGCTGCTTTCTCTGCCTGGCTGTGGTGTCACCTTCTGATAGCAACAGTCATGGCTTGCACAAGGACCCCTGTGTCCTATCATAGCCCTGCCACCCTGCCCTGATTTTGGTCAGTTCTTGTTCCTGCTGCCTCAGAATGTTTTACTGAGAGTGAGACATGCCAGGTGAGAAGTCAGCCTTGAGGACCATGCTGGGAAATAATTTGAGGAAGGAGAGAAAATATATATTTGGCCAGGTCTTCATGCCAGGTCTTGAACCAGCAGAGCTGTTTTGGCAAAAAGCATGGTTTTGTTTGACTGAAATAATTATGAATTCAGCTTCAAGGCTGATTGCACCTTTATGGCCTAAAAATTGCATCTTTATGGCCTGAAATTGCATCTTTATGGCCTGAAATTGCATCTTTATGGCCTGAAATTGCATCTTTATGGCCTGAAATTGCATCTTTATGGCCTGAAATTGCATCTTTATGGCCTGAAATTGCATCTTTATGGCCTGAAATTGCATCTTTATGGCCTGAAATTGCATCTTTATGGCCTGAAATTGCATCTTTATGGCCTGAAATTGCTTTATACCTGTAACTTATTCTCCCTTTCATACAGGAATAGCTCTGGCAAGGGCTGATCTTGCTGTAAGTAACACCTGGAGGGAGAGCTGAGAACAATTATTCACAAGCTGACAAAACAGGAACTGATTGAGGATACCACGAAAAGCTGTCAAGCACCACATTCAGCACTGTCAAAGGAGGGAATTGGTGACTGAACCCTATGGACTGCCCTGGGTGGGTCCTGGGGGTGCTGATGTGAGTTCAGCATTTGGGCAACTTCATGGACTTGGACTTACAGATACCCCACCTCTTGTTTGGGCAGCCTTTGAGCCACCAACTACTGGAAGAGAGATTGCAGCCCAGTGCAGGGACATGGCAGAACTGCCTCCTTCTAACCCTGTTTGGAGGCACATGCAAGTAGACACGGTCAGACACAGGATACTGGCCTAGACTGACCTTTAGTGTCACCACACACACCCATGGAACTTCCCACCTCCATGGCTGTGTCTTCCACAGCTGCTTTGCCAGCACTTCAGGGAAGGGTTTTGGTGCACTCTTGACACACACAAGGCACCTGATGTGTAGATGGAGCATTTGAAAGCCTGGGTCTTCACCCAGGGATGGCACATCTGAAGTACCCTGCCCACTTTGGACATCCTTTTTTGGCCTGGCTGAAGGGGAGGCTGCACTGTTTAGACAACACTCACACTTGGAAATTTATCTTAGCACAGCACAATAAAATTATTTTAAAAGTACTTTATAGCTGGAATGCAAACAGAGGAGCAAGGCTTGGATGCAGGGAGGACTCTTCCATTCAAACCAGTCTCTGTTCTTAGAAAATGCTTCTAGAATAAAATTATTATAAAATTTGAATTAAAGACATGGATTTATACCTTCTTTATAAACACTGTCACAAAGGTTTTTCAAAGCTACAGTAAAGGTGAAATTGCTTTTATTCATCTTAGTATAAATCAGGAAGAGGTAGAATTAATAATTTCTAACATGTTAACCTTTTTCTAACCTTGTCCATTAGATACTTCTAGTGTCTCTGAACTGAGCCCAGGTCCTGTCCTATTAAGATATCTTTCAGATCATATTAGCTTATTCAATATGATGGCTCAAATCAGGCACCTATGAAGTTATAAACCCTTATTCCTTCTCCCAAAGGTGCTATGCAATATCTCAGGAAAGCTTGTGCATGTCAGTTCCTGGAAGAGATAGGATTTCTTGCAAGCAGCAACATCCAAATAGAACCAGAAAGCTTTACCATGCTCCTCCTCTGCATTTTTGTAGCAGCACCTTAAAAACACCTTGCAAAACAAGTGCTCTTCTCAGGTTGTTAGCACAATCTAGCTGCAAATTGGGGAGCATATGTCTTACCATCAGTATTTGAGCTTTGTGTAACTGTTAAGTCTTGAGTTCTCAAAGGTTGTATCTCAACAAAAGGTAGGATACAGTTTATTTCCATGGGAATTTCTTCAGAATAATTCACAAGCAACTCTCCAGTGAAGAATTCAGATTTTCATCTGTTGTGGCAACAGTTTTGTTACAAGAAAAAACATTTATTTCATTTTCTGTGTGTTCAGAATCTGCTGCTAATGACTCCATTGTCTCTGCATCCCCTCCAGGATGTGGTGGTTCCTCTTCAGGAATAAAATGAGCAGGCCAGCACCTTCGTTGTTGGTTTTCTTCACTGTCCTTACTCACCTTTCCAATTTGATGGAGATCCTTGACAATTATTTTCTCAGTGTCTTCCAGTACCGTTGTCAATAAATTAAACAGGAGAGCAATCCAGGCAAGGCCAAAAAGAATCCAAATGGCCACCAGTGTTCTGTAGTAGGAGAAGTAGTTCCTGCCAGGCTGTTTACCTGCAGACAAGGTGAGAGGAAGAAGAAGAAAATCAGTTAAAATTGCTTTGCCTGTGTTAAGTTGGCCACCTTTATGGATTCATCAATGTATTTTTTGTTGGGTCCTTTCTCATGGTAGTGGAATCTCTCACTTTCCCAGCATTAAGCTAAGGCTGGGCAAGCCTCCTGTTGCAATAAACTGCTATATGCTATCACAAACACCAAGAGATGTACTGGGATTGAGGTGAAATAGCAGCAGTGCAGGATATTTTTTCCCCTTAGGCCACACCAATCCCAATTCAGCCTCTGCATCTGCAGGTAAATGCAGTGGTGTGGAAAGTAGTGTAAAATTGCATTGTATTATCTTGCAAATATTCCCAGGCTCCCAAAGCACTAAAAGCAGAGCACAATGGGCCAGTATAACTATGCTGCTATTCCTGCCTAGGTTATTGTAATTCTGTATATTTCTGTAAACTGTGATTAGAACCTAATAAATATTTGCTTTAAATTATAGGTACCTTTGATCAGACAAAGAGAGCAGCTGCAGTTCCTGCTTTACTTTTGAATGGCTTCAGGAGCTTCCTCCTTTAAAAAACTAGGTGACTGATAAAAACCCACTGACACATGCCAAGAACACAACTCTCTGTGTTGGGAACCAGTGGGCCAAGGCTCATTTCATGCAGTTCAAACCTCTCAGCATCAGCCAGTATCACACCCTGGCTTTTCTGCATGGGTCACGTCATTTGTTTCTCCAGACATCAGCCATTCACCACCAGAGAGAACATTTGCACTTGGTTCCACACAATGTTAGCACCATCACACAGGTGATCTGACCTGGCACCTGCAGGAAAACTTGGTGATACTGCTTGTTGAGTGCTGCAAGTCACCATCCAGGGTGATTCCACATAGTAGGTAACACAGCAATGGGTGTGGAGAGGGAGGTCACCACAAACCTGGTGGATCATTCCCCCTTGTGGAGCTGCCCAGAAGGAACCAGGATGCTGGCAACTCTTCTAAAACACAACCACTTATTTTGTTTACTCTACACTTAAATAAATATGTCTTAGCTGTCTAAAACAGGAATAGATGCCTTGTTTCCTGGGGCTGTCACAAACTATTCCCTCTTGGTTTGTGCAGATTTGTAGGCTCCTTGACCTCTCCCCCTACACTCCTTCCCTCCCCAAAATACTTGGCTTCTTTGTACCTGAAAACACCACATTTAATGATATGTAGACGATTTTCTGCTTTTGTCAGCACGTGCAATCCCAGAGAAATGAGTGTTTTCCCCAAAACTCCACAAGGCAAAGACAAGTTGAAGACTCAGACAGAACACTTATGTCTGCAACATACTGGTGGCCTGTGCAGCCAGCCCATGGCAATTACAGTCACAACCCTGGCACTTTCTTACCTACTACATAATCCCCAAAGCCAATGGTGCTGAGGGTAATAAATGCAAAGTAAATTCCTTCACTGTAGGACCAGCCTTCTGTTATCTGGAAGAAGAGTGATGGCAAGCACAGAAAAACTAGGATCCCCGTTGCCAGGAAGAACAAAAGGGTCAAAGATTTTATCTTCTTCTGAAAAAGAAAGAAACCAATTTGATTATAATCACAATCTGACACACTAGGAGGCTGCATATAATGGTAGCCATTGAAAATGTGTGGCTATCTAGGAATATCTCCTAGGACCACAGGAAGTGATGGCTTTTTACTGAGTGTTCTTCTAATAAAAGTACCCTAGCCTTGCTCTGAAGCAGGGGGAAGCCACACATTATGGGTGTTGGATGTCCACAGTAGCCCTGGAATCTTTTATCTAAGTGTATTAACCTTCAGTGACCATGAGTATAGGAGGAATTCCTATCCAATGACTTTTAGTGGAGTCAGACTATCTCCACTTATCATCAGACAACTTCACTAGTAGTTTTCAGGTATTCAGGTGTGGCACCTAAAGAACATTCACATTTTCCAGTGAAAAGAGACTTTAAAAAATATTTACACCATGTCTGACTGTACTATCTCCAGGAATCTTGATTGTTTGCTTTATTTCTCATTACATCAGTGCCATAAAGACTTTTAACAAATGAGCTCCTGGTGAAGAAATGCTTGGACAATGACTTTTGAACCATCCCACTTCCCAGCAGTCATGAATAAGCCTTGACTGGAGAAGAAGACTTGTTATATATTATGATTTATCAGGGAAGGAGCTGCAAATAATTTGGGGCATAACCAGGCAAGAAACATTCTGTCTCTAGCCCTTTACAGGTGCCTCCTCACCTTTCAGCAACTGGGCTCAAATGGAAAACTTCAGCCTGATGTTTCTGTCAAAGTCAAGGGAGGAGAGGGATTAAAGGACTGCATAATGAATGAGGAGGGGTGACACTCTAGGCATGGAGTCAGCATACACTGAAACACTTTTTACAGCTCACCTGCTTAGATCTTTATTATTGCTCTCTTTACTGGTGATAAAGGGAGACAGGCACTTCCCTGGGGTGTTAGCTCCTGAGATCAGAGCCTTGAGAAGTGGGATGGGGCACCCACTCTCCATTGATTGCTGAAGGGTGCTGGATGCCTGCCATTTAGATGGGTAGCCAAAATGCATCCCTTCCTCTGAGTGTCTCCTCTACAGCTGCCTTGTCTGTTTAGCTCTTCAAATGAAGAATTGTCTCTTCCCCTCACCTAGCACAATGTCTAACTCAGCATGAGAACAAAAACAATGCCAAGCCAGCATACAACTCGAGTGCAAAAAACCCTAGAAATGGTCATACAACTGTGCCTGAGTAAGTAAAACCAATTACCTTTCTCATTCCTTTCTCGGACAGGAATGTCCCCAGCTTTTTGCACAGCAGTGAGAGCATCTTGCCCACACGGTGCAGAAAAACAATATTCAGAGGGATCCCAAACAGAGCAAAAAAGACACAGAAGATCTGTCCCCCAGTAGTTTTAGGACGTAGCGTACCATAGCCTAGGAAAAAAAGATGGGTCAGAGGAGACATTCCAGAGAACTGGAGCAGTCCATGGTCACATTCACACCTAACCCCAGCCTGGCCTCTGTTTCTGAGCCCAAAAGATGTGGCTAAAACTTCCCAGCCCACATGCACCCTGCACAAGGCAGTGAGCAGATGAAGTGATTCACCCCCGCATGTTTTGGGGGATGCAGAGAGCACCCTGTGCTCCCAACCCAGCCCCAGGGGGAACAAAAGCACAATCTAAAAGCAGTTGTGGAAAACAGGCCTTCGTCCTGTGATAAATCTATGGGAAGACAGAAACCAGACATCTGGGGACCTGGAAGACATCAAGGCTGGAGTCCCAGGCTGTTTACCATGTCAGAATCACATACAACCATCTCCAGCTTCTTGTCAATCTGCCTGTGTGTCAGTGACCTCCCTGGCTAAATGCCAGTAGGTTGGTATGTCCAGATACTGGCTGCAGTCCTGGAGGCAGTGGAGTGTGCACCAGAATAGACAGTGCTAATTAGTCCAGATCTTACTGGTGGCTGATTTATTCATGCCAGAGAGATATTTGTCTTTAAGTCCTACTAAAAGGGGATTTATCTAAGTAGTGGAACAACTGCTGCAGAACTCCAAACATGTCCTTTAATGGACTTGAGACTGGCTCTCTTAGATTCCACGAGGTACATCCCTGAGTGCAAGAGTCCTGTCCTTTGTGTATGTCCTTACTCTACCAGTGACCCTGAGAAAAGGCACTTCCCAGAGCACAGCTCTTCTCAAGGCATCCATCACTTGGAAAATGCAATGTTTTATTTGAGGGAAAAGAAAAATAATGCAACTGAGTGATTTATTGGCTACCAGGCCCCCAAAGGCTTAAGCTGTCTTGTGCTCCCTGTTGCAGAAATCTTCCATTTTCACAAGAAAACCAGGTGAGGAGGAATGGAATTACTTCAAGTGCTCTCACAACAGACATCTGCATCAAAGGTGCAGAGAAACAGGCAAATTGCACTTTTCCTGGGACAACTTGTCTGCTGGTTCTGGCTGGGATGGGGCTAATTTTCCTCATAGTTGCTAGTATGGGCAATGACTTGGATTTGTGCTGCAAACAGTGTTGATAATGAGATATCTTTGATGCTGCTGATCGGTTCTTACACAGAGTCAAGGCCTTTTCTGCTCTTCACACCATCCACTAGTAAGTGGCTGGGGGTGCAGAAGAGGTTGGGAGGAGACACAGCTGGGACATCTGACCCCAACTGACCAGAGGGATGTCCCATACCATATACTGTCATGCTAGGCATAAAAAGTTGAGGGAAGAAGAGGGAAAGGGGAACATTTGGAGTGGTGGTGCCTGTCTTCCCAGGTAATCATTATGCATGGTGAAGCACTGCTTTCCTGGACCTGGCTGAACACCTCTCTGCTGATGGGAAGGAATCCATACATTCCTTGTTTTGCTTTGCTTGTGTGGCTTTAACATTACTTACTAAACTGTTTTTATCTCAACCCACGAGTTTTCTCACTTGTACCCTTCCAATTCTCTTTCTCATCCCCCTGTGGAAAGTGAGCAAGTGGCTGTGTGGGGCTGAGTTGCCAGCTGGGATTAAACCATGACAGTCATATTTTTTTTGGCACCCAACATGGGGCTCAAAGGGGTTTGCAATAACAGATTTGACTGGAATAAAAACCAGGAAAGTCAAGTTTCTCTCCCACCCACAACTGGCAGCAGATTGAACGTTGTAACAGGTGGCTTGAAAGGAAGAAACAACTGAGAAATACTATGAAAGGCCACAAGCCAAAATAATGCACAGAGCTGTGCAGTGATGAGGTCTCAGCACCACGTCCATTGCTGCTTATCATCCAAGACAGTGAAAGGGTGAAGGTTTTCTCCTTGAAATTATCATCCATTCTGGTCCTAATAACCAGACATAATAAGCATCACACACACACACAAACACATGTACATGGAAAGCATCAGACCTACCTATTGTGGAGACAACTGTGCCTGCAAAGAAGAAGGAATTACTGAAATCCCAGTTGCTCTCTTCAACCTGTGATTCATTTCCAACAGGGTACACTCCATTCTGAATGGCTTCAGTCAGGTTCTGGGAGGGGAAGAAAAGTTTGGTATCAACACAGCTGCTTTTCTCAAGTGTTTGCTGCAGGAA